AATGTAATGTAATGGAAAATGACACATTGCACATATTAATGATGGTTGGTTTAGAAGGTACTGATTTATTTGGTTATGATTTTAGTGATGCTCTTAGTAAAATTTTTCAAAGCAAAAACAGAAGAATAAAGTAAAAAAATTTTAGCACCCAAAAAATTTTCCTTTTTTTAAAATTTTCTTCCGGAAAATTTTTAGGATTCAGGAGAAACTTCCGTTTTTTTTCAAACCCTATTTCCAGCCCTGAATCAGACTAAATAAGGCCGAAACTTATTCTCGAGCCAAAGCTTGTTATTTATTGATTGTCAGATACTTTTAATGATTTTGCCAATAAAATATGATCAAATATGATAAATATATATTATTAATAGTAAAAATCACGAAATTTTGAACAACTTAATAAAGCAATCGTCACAAAGATCAATCAATAAATTGAAATCTCCTCAAATAAAATTGCAAGTTAACGGCGAGAAATTATTGGAATGAGGTGAATGTGTGAAAGTCATGGAACAATTTATATCGCATAACATACAGGTTTAAAAAGATGAAGATGGCGATAATGATGATAAAGATAAGAAAATCTAGAGTTTTATATTGATATATATAGTCTTTTTGTCAATAATTCGAAATAAAATTTATCCCCGATTGAATCGGCCAGGGCTGTGTGAAGTGTCGAATATTAAAAAACAAGATCTCGTAAATGAATAAAACCGAAAACTCGATACTGACTTTCGATCAAAGTGTTTTTCAGAGAATTGGCAATTTTGCTTATACAGAATTGGCACTTATTTTAAACATTAATATTAACATCCCTATTTGGACATGTCTTTTTTTTTGTTATATTATCAGTGACGTCATGATCTACACTATTTTTTTTTAAAAAAAAATATGGCCAAGTCAAAAGAAGATCTTATAGATGTTGATGATGAGGCTTTAAACATTACACGAGCGGGAGGAGGGTACTCTTGGGAAGAGGAGTATAGACGTAGTTGGGATGTTATTCAAGAAGATGAAGATGGTAGTTTGAAACGTACAGTAGAATCTCTACAGAATCTATTGAAACGTAAAAGGTAAAAATTGCTTTTTGAAATTTAATGATCTAAACATTACACTTTAACCAATGTTGTTTTATTTGAAACAAAAGATTGTTACGTGATACTGCAACAATACGGCGAGGGATTATACGACATTTGTTTTTGATATTAGATCTTTCTGAAGCCATGGCGGAAAAAGACTTGCGGCCTTCTAGATTGGAATTGACGCTTTCATATACAGAACAATTTATTTTGGAATATTTTGATCAAAATCCAATCAGCCAACTAGGAATAATTGTTACTAAAACTGGTGTTGCAGAAAAAATTACATCTTTGTCTGGTAACAAACAGACAAAAACCTCTTGATTTGTAATGATTAAAAAAATATATATATAATTTTTTTTTAAATTCATTATTTAGATTTATTTAAATACTTTGAAATTTTTTTATAATAATAATAATAATAATGATAAAAAGGAAATCCGATGGATCATATTCGTGCATTAAAAAATAAAAAGAATACTGATACCGATGGCGAACCTTCTTTACAAAATGCTTTGGAATTAGCACGTTCATCACTAATGTAGAAACACATATATATTTTTATTTATTTATTTTGCATAGCAGTATTGACAACGATTTCTAATCTATTTATAATTATTATTAATTTTAGACATGTTCCATCTCATGGATCACGCGAAATCTTGATTATAATGGGCTCTTTAACAACTTGTGATCCTGGTGATATTAACATTACAATTGAAAATCTTATCAAAGAAAATATTCATGTTTCAATAGTAGGATTGGCAGCTGAAGTACAAATATGTAAACTCATGTGCAAGAAGACTAAAGGTAAAATGTAATTATTAAAATTTTTTCAATTATTATATCTGGTTGTTCACCTTACTTATTATTCACTAATTATCTGATATTTCGATTGCTTTTAATTTTATTGTGGGAATTTTATAGGAACTTATGGTATTGTACTGCACGAGGCACATTTTAGAGATCTGCTTTTCGAAATTATACCACCTCCACCAGTTTCTAATGCTCAAAATAAATCTGAACTTGTTATGATGGGATTTCCAAGCAGTGTTAATGGATCAAAACCTTCCTTTTGTGCTTGGTATATATGTTAATATTAATAATAATGATAACAACAATAAAAAAGAATAATATATATATATATATATATATATATATATATTTGAATTAAATTAAAAAATTTCCCCTTTTTTTAGCCATCAAAAACTTACAACTAAAGGATATACATGTTCTAGATGTGACTCAAAGGTTTGTGATTTACCAACAGATTGTCCTATATGTGAACTAACACTAGTGTCAAGTCCACATTTGGCAAGATCTTATCACCACTTATTTCCGGTAGAAAATTATGTTGAAGTTCCATGGAGTGGGTTAGTTATCTAAATTAGTAATAATGATAATAATAACAATAATAATAATTATTATTTTATTATAATTTTTTTTTTTTTAATAATTTTCTAACAATCAACTTATTTCAATTAGTGATATAGCAGCTAATTGTTTCTCATGTCAAGTAAAATTTACTGCTCAACCATCAATAATACCTATTTCACAATTAGAAGCATCTAGTGGTAGATATAAATGTCCAAAGTGTAATCAAAGCTTTTGTATTGATTGTGATGTTTTTATACACGAAGTTATTCATAATTGTCCAGGATGTCTTTCAACTTCACAAAATAATGATGATAACAACGACAACAACGATGATAATGATGATAATGATAATAATCAATCTCGTAGAATGGAATTATAAAAATTTTATTTTACATATAATGTATAATATTAATTGTTGTTGCTTTTGTACCAAAATAACAAAATAAAAATTGGCTCGTGAAATACTAATTAACTTAATTATTAAGAATGTAATTTCTCTATAGAAATAGAATTTTCACTTTTTCACATCATTATTAATTTAGTATTTCTCAAGTTTAATTGCATCCTTGTAATTGTATAAATTCACATGATCACGTAAAGCTGAACTTTTGTAAAATTTCTGTAAAAATTATCTTAATATAAAAATAAAATTATACCTTCTTGCAATTAGTGACACAATTTTTTTCATTCTTATTGAAAATTAGCCAGGATTAAAAATTTTTTGAAATTCTTCTATTTCAAATAATTAAATACTTAATTGATTTTACATAGCAGAGAATATTTAGAATATCATTATTCTTTACCAAATAATTATTAACAAAGTAATTTTTTTTTTCTATAATTGTCTACCAAATTGATTATACAATTGTGGTTTTAAAAAAAAAAAAGTCCTTAGAAAAAAATTTTTTTTTTTTTGACGAATAAAAAATAATTTTAGAGATGGAAAACACTTTGGATGAAAATAAACATCATCATGATACCTTTACTGACAAAAATGATGATGATGATTCAAAGGAATGAAATGAAATGTCCAACTTGCAATAGATATAATACTTGGTATTCATGGTGTCAATCATGTGATCCAAAGCTATTGACTGAAGGATAGACTAGTGGCAATGAAACATTAGATAAATTGATTAAAAGTACACAACTTAAAGCAACCAAGTACGATAATATATATGGGGCATGCTGCAACAAAACCAGACAAAGTGAACATTGGTATCAATATTGTTTTTAACATCATAATTGTATTCAATTGCATTACTAATGTAATGTGATCACGATATTTGTCTAGGCAAAAATTATTAATTAATATGAAACTCATTTACATTAAATCTACCATGGAACCAAAGAATTATAGTACCATCAAAAGTATTTTGAAGAAGGAACAAGGTGAAAAAATTGCACCTTATATTTTTAAATTAGCAGATACTAAATCCTTGCAAA